GTGGGGAGAAACAGGTGAGGCGAACTTTATTTCCTCCACTCAGATCTGATTATCTGTCACAGTGTGTGTGTGTGTGTGTGAGACCTCCCAAAATAATTCGGATCACATGAACTCAGTGTCCTTAGTGGCCCTGACCAGAGTCCGGTTTCAATTAATTATTAATCAATTACTAATTATTAATTCCAGCCCAACTCTAAAATAGCTAACTAGAGGAACTATATAATAAGGGGAGACCATGCTGTTGCATTGAAGTGATATTTATAGACCTGGAAAACACTGTTGGTGTTAATCCATCATTGCATGTATAATAAAGTGAGTTTCAGTCTGTAGTGTTTACACAGGGCTGAGGTCCACCACGTGCTGCAGGGTGCTGCTGCCACCTGTTGGCGGGTGTGGGTATCTGCTCAGCAGCTTCACTAGCGTCGCTCCGCATCCACGCACCCCTGAGCTCCTAACGCTGCTAAACAATGAGCCGCCTCAACAACGTTCCGTTCAGCTCCCCCGCAGCTCCCCCGACACTCAGACACAAGCCTGGAAGGTAAGTGTGAAAGCTCTGCGCACTCTGCCATTCGCGTGAACTCCTTCTTTACGTAGCTAGGTAGCTAATGCTAATAGCAAAACAAAGTCAAGCTAGGTACGTGTGCTTTACTGTTAGCACAGATAAAGCAACATTCTGCCTGGGATCTAACATCCATGGCGACCTGTTGTTATTGCGGTATTCACTGTCTTCGTGTGGCCATCTTATGTCTGTGTTTGTGGAGAACAGAATACCTAAAGACTTCATGGAGGCGATGAAACGTGTCCCAGTGAAGACAGCAGACAATTCAAACACCAGGCCGCCGCCCAACGAGGCTGCTGAGACACGACTGACCAAGAATAAACAGGTAGCAGGTAAATAAACATTTCAACAAACCTGCATTATAGCTACTGTTCAAGGCAATCCCACACTTCATTTCTTTCTGTTGGGTGTGAAGGGTTGTTTGCAGACAGTAATCCAACAAACCTGTTATTTCTTTTATTATCTAAGGACATTTTTTTTTAACTTTATTAGAAAGTTAGCAGTAGGAAGATGACAGGAGAGATGAGGAGTGACGTGCAACAAAGAAAACCACCTGGACTACAATCAGATCCTGCAGTTTATTTTCTCCCCAAAAACCCAAGTTCCTGCTTTAGCATGCAACAATACTGTAATGCTGTACAAAATAATACAATTTTCACTAAACAAGTTTCACGAGTCTGCTGACTGAGTTTGAAACCACAGAGAAATCAAAAGAAATGTATCTCTTCCTAAAACTAGAGGCAAAATACAAATACAAACATGCAATCAAAAACGGACTGCATGATTCAAGAGTTAACAGTTTTTAGATCTTAAATTTGTTAATACTCTTGTATCGTCCGCAAAAAATGTCCACCTACTGTAAAAGAAGTAGAAAAGCTGTTTATGGTTCTGTTGTTCCAGATCAGTATTAGGTGCTAGTCTATAAATTGTTGTCTCAGTAACTGATAAAGCTAAAAGAAAATAACCAGACACAACCTGCTACCCTGCATCGTTAGTACATATTAACTTTAGATTCCATATCTAAATGTTTCAGTTTGTTATTTGTATTCCACAGAAAAACCATCTGGCTTTAAATGGAAATCTTCATTCACACCATTAGGAGGAGAAGAAGAGGACTTATCTCCGGAAAAAAGCGCAACGAATTCAGAAATGTAAGTCAGGAATTCTGTGATGACACTACTGCCCTCTAGAGGCTCGATATCTTTCACTCACTGACCTCATGAGCCTCTACATCTATAGTTGGGGGATCTTCTTCCAGTTTCTGCAGAAGCCTAAATTAATTAAATATCACAATATAATTTCGTTCACTTGGTTGTATATTCTACCTATATTAGATGCAGTGTCTAAATGACAAACCAGTGGACTGATTTCACTCAAATGTACAAAGCATCTACAAAGTTTGGGGAAATTTCTGTTAGTGTTTTTTGCCAGGACATTTATTTTACATGTGAACATTTCACAGATGATTCATGTCTTCGTAAATTGCTTGTAACACTCAGTGATCCCTCTTCCTTCTCCCTCAGGGTTGAGCTTTACGACCCTTATGAACCTGGCTTGTCAGACTCTGAATACGTGGTGGAACAGAGCAAAGCTCAACATCACTCCTCATCCGATCAGGATAACAACACGGAATGTCAACATTTGTCTCCAGGTAGAGGCTGCCGTGACAAAGGCCACTGGGACTCACCGTTCCCTAAGGCAGGGAACCGACTCTTTGACAGACCTGACTTAAGACCTGAATTCATACCTGATGACAATCAAGGTCTCAGTTCAGCTCATAGACTGCCTGAACGAGAAGCTTACAGCCCGCACACTGAACCACTTGACCAACCAGGGTATGCCTCCATAAGTAGACCCCTGGACCACAGGGTGTGCAGCCCTGAGGGGATTGTTGTCAGATCCTCCAGCCAAGAGTTTCCAGCATCTTATGGAGGACAGGAGACCAATGGGGAGGAGAGGATAAGAATGCCAGAACACAGGAGAGAGGTACCATAGAGAAAAGACGACAAAGTGTGACAGTTGAATTTAACTCTCCTAATCATAGTCACAGTCTGAAATCATGTCAAACAGTATGTGATTCAAAGGAAAGAAATCTCGTGTCGGGTTAGATTTTAAATAAATCTAACATAATATAACAAACTTTGATATAAAAAAACGTAGTTGTTTTGAAATGCATCGTCGTGTATGTTTCTGTAAATTAGGGAATGGGGGATGGGCCAAATGCATTGGCATGACACAGAAAAAAATTTACATGTATGTGTGTTTGTCATTGTTTTCTTTTTACGTAAAGTGACAACACACCTTTCTCTCTACTACAGATGACCATTACTGTCAGATTGTCCCCGCCCAAGTTACGGCAAAATTCAAAACATCATGGGGGGCATATGGAAAAAGGTAGGTGGGTGTGTACTCATGATGTAATGATAGTTTACTTGCTGTTATATACACCCAGTAAAAAAATCAAACATGACTGCATGCACAACACACCTGATAATTTAGTTTGAAAATATACCAACAAACCACTGTGTGCTTAAATGAGCAAAGCTGTATGTGTATTTCCACTGTGGACCTACAGTAAGTTATCCTGCGTATAATGTTCTGCAGGTCCGGAACAAATCAAGCCTGCCGAAGAGAAGACAAGAAACAGGAGAAAAATGATTATAATGGACAAGTAAGCACCAGCCATGCTGAAGCCGTATTATTTAAAGATGCTACATGTAAAGTATAAATCATATTCTATTTGATAATGTAGTAAAATTATTAAAGCAATGACAAGGACTCACGTGTTCCTGTTGTGACACGGTGTCACTACAGTTGTGCAGAATCAACTAATATACATCACAAACTAGATGTGCAACATTTACCTCTTTACCATATGTAACACTGAGAAAATGAATGAGTCAGTGAGCACGACCAAAGCACTCCACTGAAATAACTGTCAGCCCAATCAGTTTGGATGTTTTAACTTCATTCTGGTGACTCTAATTTCAGAGTCTTTGTGGATTATGAAAACCAGAGGCTGTTAAAAGCTCTTCCATTTACATGTTAGATGATTAATATTCTGCAACACTGAATATCTCAACATTTCTCTTGTAGGGAGCCCATCACCTGCGACCTTTGTGATGTTGAGCTAGCCAATGGGCAGGAGCTGGAGGATCACTTGGACAGCAGAAGCCACTGGGGGACACTGGAGTACATTCAACAGAATAATAATTATGACGATCTGGAAGTAGCTTTCCTGCAGGTGAGAGAATACATTGTATTGCTCAGTACGTCCTATTGATTCTCTGCAATAATGACCTCTTCCTATTTTTCCCAACAGTTTTTTGTGTATTTAACCCAGATGCATAATAGATACATAAACAAAGGTTTGTAGGTTTGTGTGTTGTAATTTACATCTTTCTTTTTTTTACCCTACAGGATGTCATGCTGTATAAAAGCCGTCAGTGTAGCCGAGCCATAGAGGAAAGTGCTGTGTTTGGTAACTGCCAAATGTTTTAATTCTCACTAATTGGAGGTGGTGAGAGTAACATAGTCTAAATGCAGTGTGACTGTTGCAGCTCTGCAGGAAAACGACCACATGGCAAAGATGGAAATGTTCCACTGTGCAGCCTGCGATGTCTTTGTATCCACATCTGCGTCCTCGGTGCAGTCCCACATTACCTCTCTGGAGCACCTCTCCAACATAAAGGTAACACTGCTGCAAGGCTATTAAACACAGATAAATGAATAAATATTGTCTTCATTGTTTGTGAATTCAACCCTGGTCCTTGAAGGAATGAACTGAAGTGGTGACTGATTGATTTCTTTCCTGAAGGAGTTTGAAGTGCACCAGAGACGTGCTTGCCTCGACAAAGCAGGAACCATAATGAAAAAGCTGAAACCTCAGTTTGAACACTTCGTACAGGTAACTGCTTATACTTTAATAACATGAGATATGTAATACATGACATCATAAAGCTGTGGAATCATGTGATAAAAAGTGAGTAACTAGTCCTCACTCAAACGATTAATAGGTGCGCTGTGTAGTTATGTGGTTCCCTCAGGTTAGTTCATTCTCTCGAGTGATGTTGCATAAATAATTGAATTAATTCCCCTGAATAAATAGCATTGACACCTTCAATTCAGGTATATTTTGTTTTTAGAAAAAAATATGTCATTGTTTTTAGATATTGAAAAACTACTATGTATGTTATGTAATTTGAGAGCTCAGTTTAGTAAATGTGGGGACGAATTACTAATTGGAAGAAATACATTTTAGTTATGCGAGGATAAAAATGACTAAAACAAACTAAATAAACTGCTTACCAACTGGCTCTCTTGGCTTATGCAAATAAAAAGCTATGCACCTTTGGCCAGACACATCAATCATAAAAGCAATTGCGTAAAATAATCAAATTCTATCAAGTAATTGACTTTGAGAGTATGAAAGCTGTTATGTAGGTCGTTCATCAACACTTTCAACACAAGTCGGGTTCATAAAGAAATATGCAATATTTCATCTTCTGAAAAAAGTGTTGTATACATTATACCAAGTAAAAATATATTTTAACTGAAGACAGATTGCATTACTTTTTGTCTTTGTGTCTTTAGCCTCAGACCGGTACATGTGATTAGCAGCACAAGCAAATATAACCTTTGTCTTCGAATAATCATAACTGTTTGTTTCTGTTGAGGTTCATACGCAGCTTTCAGGATACCCAACTGATTCTTCTGTTTCAGGGTGACAGCCCGTTTTAATGACGGAGCCTTCAAAAATACTGGAAACAGAGATGCTGTTCACCTTATATGAAGAGAAATGGACTCGACACAGCAGCTCACTTTGGACCACAACCAAATAAATGCTCCATCAATTCTCTGTACAGTTTATTGCTCAGGGAACTCACTCTACATGTACCATTAAAGATCTGGATGGATATTCTTTCATGTTATTTCACATTTTGTTAACTACCAAACTCCAATCATCACCAGTTGGTCATTTTAAGAAGATGAATCTTGTGGTTGTTTTACATTTAAGCATTCATTTATCATTTGTTTAAAAAAAAAAAAGAGAAAGCCAACTTGTTTCTTTGCTTCTTTTATTGAGAACAACACAAATGTTTTTAAGCATTGTATCTGTGTGATATAGTACATTTAAAATTAAATTATTTCAAAACAGTATATTTAAACATTAAATATAGGTGACATGTATGAAGGGCATTGCCAGCACAGGCTGTGCTTGATAGGTCTTTTCTTCACCTTCACTTTTAATTTCTTCTTTGTATTAGAAACAATGCAGTTACTGAAATTCTATAAAACACTTTCTATGCATAACAAGTTTGCAGACATTTTTCTTTTTTGTTCTTGAGTAGCAGATCACTTCTTCCACTTGTGATTCTTGGACCTGTCTGTCGAGAGAACTTTTCTTCTCAGTAACTCTATGGCCTGAAACCAGTGTGGGCTTGGATTTCATAATGTTGTACAAAAGAAACGTGATTATATGCATCTTACGAATGTGAATATTGATATAGAGGAGAGGTGCGCTCCCAAACTTTGACAAAAACAGACTCAAACCATGAGAAATCTGAGGTAAAAGTTGTTTTCATTAGAAATGGATTCCACACAACATTACTGCATAAACAAGAAAACAGTCCGTCTATTTGAAATTGTTTTCCAACAACGGACTGTATAAACGGAAAAAGGTAACAATATCCAAAATAATTAACTTTTTCATCCGTCCAAATGTCCAGACATGTACAACACCTCCAGCAATGAGCAGCATTGTACTTTTGGCCAGTATTTCATTGACTTAAAAAAAAAAAAAGGTGAAAGAACATCCAATGCACATACACATACAGTCTAGTGAAATCTAAAAGGATCCCCATTGGCTTCATGAGGCAGCATGTGTGGCTGTCAAAGAGCTGTCTTGGTCAATCTCGAGAGCTTGGGAGTCCTTGGGCAGCGAGGTGACCTCGACCATGCCGAGCCCAGTGTGAGGGACACTAGTGTTCATAATGTGTCTCTGTAAATGTTTAATCCAGTCCTCCTGGACCGACAAGGGACCTTGGAAGACGAGGTCGCAGAACCTGTAAAAAGAACAAAAATACTGATGAAGATACAGCAACACAAAGAAAATTATTTTCTGGAGCTCATCAGTGTAAAGTCAAACAGACCAATCAATGGGCCAAATTTGGTTGCCTAGGGCAACTGGACAGCTGCAGCCTTTTGAACTGCAAATGCAATGATATATTTCATTGTTCCTTAGAGTGTAACACTGTGCTCATTAAACCTTAAAAGAAACTACAGTACCTGCAGGTGAGTCTGTACATTTCCTCTGGAGTTTGTGGTAAGGGCAGTGTCTTCTTCTTCGAGCCAGGCCTCGAGCGCTGCCTCCTCACTTTACAGTCAAATGCTAAAAATATATGTCACAAGACAGTCCACAGTTAGAATTTCACAGCTGGTTTTGGATAATCTGCTGGGATTTTCAGGTAAAATTCAATAGGTAGAATTTACTGTCTGCCTGATCTAATTAGAATTCCTTGTCATCACATAGAGCAAGAGAGATTTAAAAGTATTCCTCATTTGTTCAGATTGTAATAAAAATACTGATGTAATGATGAGTATGTCTCTAACTGTATATACATTTCACACTGTCACACAGATTTTTCCAGTCTGAGAAGAATTTAGGTCAAGGGACTGTTATGAAAACTTATTGCAAGAGCACTGTACTTTGATCCTTGAAGTATGAACCAGTATGACTTGCTAGTTCAGCGACATGTATGTTGATGAATAAATGTAACAAGCTAAAATCAACTAATAAAAATACTTGTAGGAGAAAGTTTATTCCAGACGGTTATGTTATCACTACGGGCACCTACCGCTTCCCTCAAGTAAGGCAGTCCTCTTTCGTTTTGCATAAGCCCGTAGGTGATTGGACAAGCTGACTCCACTGTGGAAAGTTGCATTGCAATGCTCACACACCTTCCTGTTGAATTCACCTTTCTCTGCAACAGGGCAAAAAATACAAATTCGTGAAAACATAAATATGAGGATACTTTTTTGTTAGGGTTGATGAGGAACAGGTCGTAAAAAGAATTGGGTTTTCTTTCTGACATGAGCTTCTATACATTATATTGACAGTGAATTATCCAAACCATTGACTAGTTTATTTCAAATATGTTATATTAGGAATTTAGATAGGTTAGGAAACAAGGTCTCATAGAGAGCTATTCAAGTGACAATATGGAGAAGTACATACTATAAATCCCAGTTAAGAACTAGGATCAATTAATTAAATTCTTAAATGTAAGGCAAGACAAATAATAATGATCTCCATTATATGCTTCATATCCATTATGGCCCAATAATCTGAGGGTAACTGGAAAATCGTAATCTACGTCTTTATACTGATGACACCTCATTTCAACAATATATTAAATCTGTTGATGAGATGTTTATTTAAAAACAACCTATGTAGACATTATCCATGTTTTGTGGAATTGTCATGTCTTCAAAACTTGAGCATATACATTTGATATGTTTTTCTAACTTTGTTTTTTTTTTTAATCTGACGATCTGACACTGGTCCTGCTCTGTGCAATACTGTTTTTTTGTTGTTTTTTTTTAACAAACAAAATTCATTCACTTTCGTTTAAAAACATATCTTAACAGGATTAAATTCTAGTGGAGGATACTTAATTAATCAAAACACTAGAGTATTCCACTTCCTCTTTAACCTGTCTGGTTACTACAAATGTACTTACCACATATTGAGTTTGGCAGTGAAGCTGAAGTGTGCTCACTGTTTGAAGAAACCGTTAATGTGTTTTTGGACATCTGAGAGGACCCCTTTGGTCTGGCGTCATCCTGACACTTCCTCCTCTTCAGAATTCCTATCAAGGCAGTTGTGCCTGAGAGTGAATTTTTGACATCCAACTTTGTCTCTTGTTGACTTTCTTCAGAATCCATTTCAGCTAAAGAAAATGTGGACATCAGTGGTTTGGCATCATTGCAAACTCTTGGAATAGAAGGACTTTTTGGGAATCCAATGGGGGATGGCGTGAAACGATCAACACTGGACAGCTTTGGTGAACCACCATATTGGTAATGGATCCGTCTCTTTCCCAAAATTTGAAGTGCCCGCTGGAATTCCTTCTTGTCTCGCATCAACTCCCGGAGTAAAATTAATGGGGATTTGGTCTTTGATGAAAAGCTTTTACCAAGCTTTTTGAGGTGGCCTCTTATGTGGTTGGACTGCCCAGTCCTGTTATCAAATGAATCTCCACATAATGGACAGGAGTGAATACTCCTCACAGTCCCAGAATCGGACTCCATCTGTAATGCTGAAAAAACCCCAAAAACATTCCTTAATAAAGTACACCATGATAAATGTATATATTGAAAGTACAAATAGGTTAACATAACAGAAACTATAGTTTAAACTCAGTTAAAACAGGTTGCAAAACTGGATCTACCAGTTGTAAGAAAACAGAACTCACAAAAATAGATCCAGAGATCTTGGATGTAGCTGCATTTCTACGATAGGCTTAAACAAGGCAAATAACTAAATAAGCTACATTTCCCCCCAGAGTAGTTACAGTCGGTTAAAGTTAGATAACAATCAAATGTTCCAAAAGAACCAGACCTGACACGCCCGCACAATTTGGTGAGTTTTCAAGTATGATAAGGCCCCCAAAAAGGCAATTATTTTGTCAGAAGAAGAAAAATAAAAATCCTAGCAAAAACAATAGTTGCACTGTCATGCTCGGGACCTAAAAAAATCCATCTATTTCATGAGTTCTTGTGTGGGCCTAGGCTGACGCACTGACTGCACTGCATGATGGACATGACAAATGATTTGCACACTTCAGTTTTTGGTCTGTTGATGGAAAAATTGTGGAATGTCATATTCATGGCTTCAGTTAACAACCAGAGGGCACATCTCCAAAATAGCACCAAATTGAGCATGGCTTGATCTCTGTAACAGAAAACCATGTCATGACTCATTTTTGAGAGCACTAAGGCAACTAATGTATCTTAGTTAATGCAAGTGCAACTGTTACTAAACTTTGACTAATTTCTAGTTCTTAACAAATATGACCAACTGAGTCCTTATTTGGAGTTGCCCCAGAGGATTTTCTTAAGCAGTGGTACCACATTCCAAGATCTCAGCAAGCTCAAGGCTTTACAATATCTGATTCAGAGCCACAAAATAAAAGCTAAATGGTTATAAACCAAATATTTCGTACAGTAGAAGAAATCTATGTAATAAGTACTCAATTACCTTTTTTCAATCTCCGGAATGCTGTGATCTTCCGGCGAATTCGTGGCCTCCTATCTTGAGAAGCCACCTGCTCGGGAGGCACTACATGGCGTGCATTGTAGGTCAATCCAACCCTATGAAGATGTCCTCTGACATGATTGGATAATCCAACACCTGACTCAAAGACAGCGGGACAGTATGGACAGTTCTTTTGGTCCGATTCCGACTCTGATAAATCTTCTGAGAAAGATTCACTCAGTGGTATTTGGTGGGATTCAAAGGTTTCTTCACATACTTCTGTTTCTATGCACTCTTCCTTGATTTCAGGGTCAGTTTGTTCTTGCTCCTCAGTCTTTATTTTATCAAACAACATTTTAGATGCCTGCAGAGCACCCCTCATGGACATTCTTCTGCTATAGGTATAAATTATGTTTTGTTTTTCATCCTTGACAACATCGTCAAAAGAGTTCATGTTGGGGTCCTTAAACTGGAGAATGTCAAAGTCGTCAAATTGTTCTTCTTGGTTTATTTTCTTGGGACTCTGCAATGGTTTTGGTAAGATGAAGCACGAGTCTTGATCAGAGGTGTTGCGATATGGGGTTGACATCTTCCGCTTTGATGGTGACTTTTTCATAGTTGACTGATCCAAATTCAATTTGAGTTCACTCATGCTTTTGAGATCCATTTCAGCTGCACTTGAGGGCACACTATGTCCATTTGGGGATAAAGATGAATCTTCAACCTTGACAGTGAATGTTTCTGGGAACTGATCAGTGCCATCGTTGCTGCAATTGGTTTCCTCATTTTGCTCAGCAGACTTCTTTCCATGTTGTTGTCTGGACAGGAGAACGTTAATGGACTTGTCAAGCTTTGATTCCATTAGTTGAGACTTGTAAGTTCTCTTAATCTTGCTATTTTTGAATAAGTCTGAAATGTCATTGGACTCAGTCGGTGAACAGGCTCTTCTAGTGGAGATCTGATTTTTGATTAAGATTTTAGACATGAATTCTGCATCTTCTACAGGACTTTTACGAGCAACATACTGTTCCTTAGATGGCTGCCCGTTTTTTTGACTCAACTGTGTAGCTTCATAGTCCTCAAAAGTTTGTTGATGACGTCGCAGAAGGTGATTCTTCATTACATTTTTGCTAAAAGCTCTGTAAGAACAAATGTTACAGGAGTATGATTCAAATTCATGATTCTGGATCTGTGAATTTTTCTCACAAGGCTGTGTAGCTTCGTATTCCTGTGCAGTTTTTTGACTAGGCTGTGTAGCTTTGTATTCCTCAAAGGTTTGTTGATGGCGCCGCAGAAGGTGGTTCTTAAAAATATTTTTGCTAAAAGCTCTGTAAGAACAAATGTTACAGGAAAATGTTTCAGGGTCATGGTTCTGGATCTGTTTTCTAACAGTTACAACAGTGTGCTGCATAACAGTATGTCTCCTAAGATCATTCTCATTGAAAGTCCTGAAGCTACATTTGTCACATCGATACTTTCTCTTGTCTTTCTCATGTGTTTTCGCATGTTGAACAAACGTGTTTGGGCAGTTTGTTACAAATGGGCACTGAGGGCAGAAAAGCTTCACATTTTTATCATCTTTCTTCTTGTAATTCGTGCCTCTGATCTCTTCGGTGAGTCTTGCTCTCTTGTCCTGGTGGATGGACATGTGCTCAATAAGTGAACCACTTTGTCTGAATGACTGTCCACATTCACGGCATATATAAGGCTTTTGCGAAATATTCGGAGGGTCAACATGAGACTTCATATGACGATGTAAATGATGCTCTTTCTTGAAAACGATCTTACATTTTGGGCATGTGTAACATGATGGCTTCTCCTCTGAATGAGAATTTATTGTGAGCCTCCCCTTCAATGGTGAAAGCCTGTGACTTATATTGTTCTCATGTGAATTTCTTGCTGGAGCATTGTAAAGAATTTCCTTGATGGCCTTTACAGTGCCATTGGGATACTTGGGAACACTCCCTGTTTCTGACGACTGTGATTTAGAGAAGTTCCTTGACTTTCTGACATGACTGGAGTCCACTGGGCCTTCACCGTCAGACAATTCCTCAGATGACTTTTGGCTCAGATCAGGGTAAAGGTCTTCTGAGGGATCCACCATGACAACCATGTCCATTTTCCGCTTCCTTCTCCTTTGGCTGTTAGTCGGAAGGACGTCATCCTTCGACTCCTCATCCGGAGAATCATCATCGTTCTCCCACAGAAACTGCATAAACTCTTTGTGAGGGTTCCAATGAAGGTCACTGGCACCACTAAAATTATCCAATGAGTTCTCAGGTGAGTCTGAGTCAAAACCCCAAATTCCTGCAGAGTCAATTTCCTGGACAGTTTTTAATGGGGTGATGCTCTTTTCTTCCTCTTTCTCTGTGGAAATGCTATTGAGTTCATTGGCTTGGGTAGCCTGATGCGAAGAAGGTCCATTTCCAAGGCCAACTGGAGACAACATATCTGTGTTTGACAGAACATCTAGGACACTGTTTTGTTTTAGAGAAAGCTTGCCAAAAGAATCAGAGGAAGAGGCTGACTCTTGGGCCATTCTCACAGGCTCTTGCAGGAGCGACAAGGCATTGATCTCAGGTTCGGCGTCTTTGTCATCTTCTTCAACACCTGTCAGACATGACATTTCTGCTGCCATGACCTGAAAAAGAAAGGTAAACTTATAGATATTCCACTGTCACAAGTGTTTAACTACAAAATCCTAAATAAACAAGTCATCAAATATTAAGACTTTTGTTAGACTCATGACCCCTTCTGGTAGGAAACAACCGGCATTAGCCTTGGCTACTACTGTAGAACACAACATGGAAAATCAATTACGATTGTTGCTGACAGCTGTCTGTATTTAACAATGCTACAACTGCCTTTATGCGTAGGAGACAAATGATCATTTCAGCAGTTCCTGTGTACACCAGCACATTCATATTTTCCTGTTTACACTGGCACACCCATACCGTGAGTGGTCATGTATGCATTTTAAGACGTGTTAGTATGGACGGGAATTAAAACTAACAATGAGCCAAAATGCTGGTGTGGACAGAGATCGTTTTAGTTTGAAAACATTGATTTCAAATGAAAATGTAGTAGTATGAAAGTGGCCTGACACACATTGACTCACTTCTCCAATATGTTAAACTATTTCTTCTAATCAATGTTGTAAATACTGTGATTTTGTTCATGTGTTCAGTTACACACAGCATCTATTGCACTTCTGTCCATCCTGGGAGAGGGATCCCTCACATGTGGCTCTCTCTGAAGTTTCTACGTTTTTTCCCCGGTTAATATGTTTTTCTTTTGGTAGTCTTTCCTTACTCTTGTTGAAGTTTAAGGAAAGGATGTCGCACCTTGTTAAGCCCTATGAGACAAATTGTGATTTGTGAATATGGGCAATCGAGAATTTGTGGTGGTATCCCAGGTGCACATGCACACTGTTAGCTCTCACCTGCATAAGAGAGTAACAGGTACACCGACTAGAGAGTGAAAGAAGTTCTTGTGTGTCAGAACTGCATCGAATGCCACTCGTAGTTATGCACAAAGCCACAGCTCAATCTTTAAGGTCTGGCTGTATGCATGGACAGTAAAAACTTTATGGACGATAGCGCAAGTGTGCGAGTGGGATAGACCAAGTAAGCATGAGGCAAGTAGCACTGACAACTGAAGTAGACAACTCTACAAGGAATCAACTGAGCAAGACACTGACTTAGTAATATCTTGTGTTACCATGAAAAATGTAACATTTTTTAAGGGCCGTTTTTAAACTCTGGTGAGACAAATTAGAAAATAGCGGACCACTACAGTCTAGATTAATATATTATAACAAGTAGGTATTAAATATTTTAGTTTTAACCTTTATTTAAACATAAAACACCTGGAAAGTTGTAAGAATTCCTTTTTAGAATTGTTATTTAAGTTCTTATAAATAGAAAGCAAAGATATATCTGTCCCCCTTCTTTTGCTGATCTGAAAAATCATCTGATTTGTGACTGAACCCCGAGACCTGATCTGAACGATGAGTTTTGGGATCGGTTATTACCCGCATTGGCTTCCTAATTGGCTCTTATCAGTCGAAGCTCGACTACCAGCAAGGCAAAACATTGTAAACACTTACAGCTCTATCTCATCATTGGTTTAAATCCTCCGTCTTACTTTTCACCTCTGTTGTTCGTCGTTTGTAGCATTTTCTGGAAGTAAGCAACCACTTGCAGAGTTGACAATCTGCTTCCTGCCCGAGTGTTTGTTTCAGATGTAGCATGCACTACAGTATTAGAAAACAACAACAATCCTGCACAAACAAAACGTGGAATGTTGGAGCACTCGACGGAAATCTTGATCTAAAACAGCTCTGTAAGAACAGGACAAAGGGTTGCAACAATGAGGGTAAACCAGTGAGACCGTGAAATACAAGTCTAGCTGGAGTCTAGCTTTAGCTTTGCCTCTCTGGAAAGGTGATTCATTGTTCGGCTCAGTATGTAACCGCTTAATTTTGGCTGGATCAACACAACAGGGGGATCTTTCATACATTTCCTGATTGTGTTATACATTATGTTGTAAATCAAAAGTAATCATGTTTACCTTATACAGTCCTGGTAAAATGAAGGTTTGTACCTAAGTATCTTTGCTGGATACAAAAATATAATAACTAACTACAAAAAAGAAGGTCGTTGAGCAAAACCCAAAAATTGCAATTGGTACTCCACATTTCTCATGATTATCAAGTGCAGTTCTTCCAGTCTCCACATAGGCCTGGTGGCGATGACATTTAAGCTACATTCCTTCTTCAGCTCTTCTATGGATACGCCACAACATTCCTTAAAACGGAGTGTGGAAACGTTGCAGGATCTGGGCAACATTTTAGTCTGGAGAGGTAGAAACAGAGATGTTTGGAAACTGTGACGTGGACACTCATAAAGTCGGTCACGATGTAGCCTTTGCTCATTTGTCAGGCTCCTATCACATGACACCCTTCCTGAAAAAAAACCCAACCATCTTTAGCCTTGGCTACGAGTGTAGAACACAACATGGATAAGAGATGAAATATTGTTCGAGGTATCTGTGCGCACCGGCATGTGAATGCCTTCCTGTTTATATTGGCCCACGCATGCCCAGTGTACGCTAGTGGTCACCTGATATGCGTTTTCAGTAGTACAGATGTAGCCTTAGTCAAAATTTCAAGTTGATGCTAGCTGACGAGTACTATTTATGCTAAATGTACAATGCAGCCAGTAGTAGGTGCTACAATGGCTTAAACATTTTAGTCATTTTTGAACGCAAAAAGCGCGAAAACAGTTAGTCGATAGCCATAAATTACCATGCAGCTTTATGAGGATTGTTTAAATGTTATCAGGATTTTCTACTTTTTTGATTGTAGCCTTTTTTTTTTAAATACATTAGTTACGTCAGAAATCAATTGGTAGATATATCAATAATGAAATTAAACATGCAGTCCTGAATGCAAATCTGGTCAGCGTAGTAACAGTCACACAGATGTATTCAGAAATTTAAAAAAAATCAAATACTGAACCTTGTGTTTTACGAGTTTAAATGTTCAGTGTGTAGAATTTAGTGAAATCTAGTGGTGAAGTTGCATATTGCAGCTGAACAACCCTCACCTTCCATACATGAAAGAGAACCTATGGTAGCCTTCAGTTGTCATAAAAACTCAAAAGGTGTTTAGTTTGTCCAGTTTGGGCTACTGTAAAAAAACATGGCGTCCTCCGCAGAGAGGATCCACTCTTGATGTAAATATAAAGGGCTCATTTTAGGATACAGAAAACACACTGCGTACAATTTAGATGATTACACACAAGTGAAAACATCACTAGGATTATTTTACATTAAATTTCTGTCAATAGATCCCTTTAACCTAGATCTCACACAGTGAACCTTTAAGTTTGCCATGATATTCTTGCTTGTGTCAATGAGCTTGTGTGATGTGAAAAGTAAACAGTTTGGTTACTCGCAGTGACAGCACAGCTACATCCTTGACTCGATCGACACAAAACAAATATGGCTTAATACAAAATATACTTGACATCACGCTCGGATGATTAATTGTAGCCATTTACAACGCGACAAGGTCGCAGGGGTGAGAAGTCTCGCATTTGAAGGGCAATAGAAGTGTCACACCAGGTGATCGCTGCTGTGGCAAGAGGTGTTTGTCACATCTACACAGCGGCAGCGAAACTGCACAGGGATGAACCCCGTAACAAGGCTTTCGATGAGCGGCGGTGGCTTTTGTACAGAGCTCAAACTTTGGCCACAGTTGTTCAGTAATAAGCCATCGAACAGTAGTTTGAACGTGATTCCAAAGGGTACCTACTTTCAGAGCAGATCGGGTTATTCGCACTTTGTTCCGCGCGGATCTCGTTGCATTTCCTCGGCGTTTGTATCACGCTGGCTCGTTGGATGCTGCTTGCAGGAGCTGCAGACCATTCTGTTCCAGACCAAAACCTATTCCTCAGGCTAAACTACCGCTGGTGACAGCCATTACTCGCTGCTCGCGACGCGGATATCGGTGAAACGACGAAAAACAAACCCACGTTACCTCCGAGCGGCGCGGATGGAGACGGGGCACAATTAATACGATGCATTGAATAATTTCTTACTTTCGTCTTCCATCTATTTCACAGTCGCCATTTTCCGTGGTGGTCTGGTGAGGGACGGAGCATTTCCTTTGTAAGGGTAACCGCGCTGACATTTTGCTCCTCCGCGACAGAACAAAAGCAAATGTTCCGATAATTATCTTATATTCTACACTAGATTTAAAGACATCTACAGGCCATAAGGCTGTTTTAAGTTATTGCCTTGTATAATTCCGGAACGTAATGTTACGAGTCGGCGCCGTGTCTCCCCCCCCGAAAGGTTCGTAATGGTTCAGTCCAGATAGGAGGCATAAAAAACCTGAGTTAATGACCATTTCTTTTGGGTAGTAGTTTTTTTTAGATGGATGGCGGCTAATCGCCATTTAATTGATCAAATGAAACTCTAGTTATTATTTGGTTTGTGTTCATTACAAAAGAAGTGGCTTGGTTCTGCTGCTCAAACTCGTCATTGACGCTCAGACCAGGTTTGTGTGGCAGCAGAGGAGAGATGTTACCTTCTATCCCCCCATGGTTGTCTCCTCTCAGCTCTTTGTTACTCTCCTAGCCGCTGATTAGCCGCTTCACTCATTCACAGCCTCCGTCCATGTTAAAGGGAAATCACACGCGGGCCCGATCACACAAAGTAAGGAAATGAGTTAACACAGTGATCATGTGTTCCAGCTGCCCTACTTTACATCTGAGGATGTGGAGCTGTAGCTCATATTATTAATTAATAATTAAGCCTCACTACAGTCCTGTTAGTGTTGATAATGAATGGGCCCTGACTAAAGCAGGGGAAGTGTATTCATTATTACAGGTGGGTACACGATGATAAAATAGAACACATAACTTTGAAAACAACACATTTTCTGGCTAATTTCACAACTAATGCTAACTGATAGCTGTTGCTTTTGAATGTTGCTAGCTTGTTTTATCCACGCTGCTTAAGCTAGTAAGGCAAAGTTAACTCCAGAAATGGCGACCTAATTTAATATTTTACAAGGAAACTCTTAACCGTATTACACAAGAAAAACATTTAACATTGTGCAGCAGGTGGATATTAAGAAATTATTCAGTTCTGTCATGTTTTGTGTGTTAAATAATGAAGCCAAATCAACAGACACATCACTAACCGCATAGCTATTGTATGTAAAAATTATTTGTGTCCAATATTCTAATATTGATATGATTTTCACTTCAGTTCCTCCAATGGTTTGAGTCCATACACTAGTTAACAACTAAAATGGCACTGAAGAGAGTGCGTACCTCCGCTAAGGCCCAACAGTCCCCTTAAATTCAATCAAGCTCCTCCAATAGGTATCAGTCACCTCAACATGCCTGGTTGCTTTAATTAAGATCCATGAATTACTCCCAGGGGAAATTGGTGATAATATAAAAAAAAGACAGCGCCTTATTTCACAATTTTAAAGAATGTTTATATAAAAAACTCCTGGATCTGCCCCTTTGTCTTGATCAGTGCCAACCTTTAAGGGGATCTTTCTTGGCCTATGAACCATCCTTCTACTAAGTTTCAAGAAAATTGGTTCAGTAGTTTTTGTGTAATCCTGTGTACAAACCAACCAACCAATGAACAAACAGACAGGGGTGAAAACAACCTCCTTGGTTGAGGTAATTAAAGCGTGACTAGCTGCATCATAAGGAAACTAGATTTTTTAATTCAAGGACATATGAGCGAAAAATGAAAAGATGATTAGCTAAACCCTTGTTGCCACAGGCCAAAGCTGATCTTGGATGAAGCCCTAAAGTTTGATAAAGATGGATGTCCCCAATTAAAATCCATCCATCCATGATCCGAGGAGATGTTGGACTCCAGTGACTGCTCCTGGTCCCTGGACAATCTGTTTTTTGAGAAACCCATTGTCCACAAAGTGTGAGTGCGAATAGATACCACACACACCCTCCCCCCTCTTGTTTCTCTCTCAGCAGCTCATCAGTGTTTCTCATTTTGGGTTGTATTCAACAGAAAGCCACTGCACCAGGAGACAAATCCATGGCACCTGGATGTGCCTCCATCATTTTCTCAGATTCCAGCTACCCCTGATATGCAGGCAGAGTCACTCTCTACTCTACACAGTATGTTTTACCCTGGATTAGGGTGAATTCCTTTTCACTTGACTTGAGTAAACTGCTCAGTATCTGGCCTATTGAAGCCCTATTAAATGTAACTTTGTGACTCACTGACACAATAGCTCGACAGCTTTCCCTATTTCCATTGACTTCTGCAAGCAAACTTGGATCTTAGTCTTATGATATATTCTCATGTGTCAGTGCAATGGTACATTTTCTTCTTTTCTTCTCATCTTTCCAAATCAATGTCAAGTCATTTCTGATTCTTTAAAATCATTGACAGCCACCAACAACTTAATTTGGGAACTAAAATCTATCTCTCTTTATTTTTCTCACAGGTTTCTCAGAGAAATCTGTTCCTGCCTCACTTCCCCTTCCTCCTTTTAAAGTATCAACTGGCCTTAAAGTCTTATCACAAATCAACAGCTCTTATGGTTTTAACCATGATGAGAAAAAGATTGAGGAGACTCAGTGTGGCAGCAACAGTAACAGCATCAGCAGATGTGATGGCCTTTGGGGAGGTGAAGGGTTTAGGGATTACTCTCAGGGCGCCTGTCAGAGTGGCAGAGGTGGAGATGAAACCCCGCAGGACTCTGGTCATGTGGCCGTCAGCAGGAGGTGTTTGTCTGTGGACTGCAGCAAAAACCCACTTCTACGAAGAAGGCAAGAGTCAAGACAGCATTCAAATGATTGTGGATTAAAGAGTCTGTACACATTGTTTTTCAATGTCTACATATTTTCGAAAGATGTGAAATCTACACTAAACAACAGAAATGTGTTGAACTGCTTAGGAATGACATGTGGCCTGAAGTACAAAATGGTAAAAATCAAAGGCAGTAAAAATTAGGTCAGCAAAGATTTTCCTTCGTAGGAGGTGGATGCAGAGCTTGAAAATCGGAAATGATCAGGTCTTATGTTATCTGCTGTCCAAATATGTAATGTCGCAATGATTCACTCTTTAAATCCCTGAAATTGTTGAAACATATGATTTGCTTAGTTAATATTAGTATTTAGCAAAGGAGCCTTGATCTTTGAATTGATGGACAGTTCATAATAAGAACATGAAAAAATGCTTAACCATCCCCCATCTTTGCCTTGTTGCCACAGGCCATAATGCCTGGCCTTCCTCGCTTAAGCCTCCGACCTTCATATCCTCCCCTTCATTCCACAACAGCTTGTTCAAGGTTCAGGTGTCGAACAGTGGAGGTGACTCGTCACACACAGACGACCTCAGTGTCAGCGGCAGCAGCAGCCAGACAGCTTCCAGAACTCAAACTTTTCTCAGTCAGGTTGCCATGGCGACAGTACCTCCTCCTCTTCAGCCGCCACGGGCGACAGTTTGCCAGGCAGCTCCTCCTTTCCCTCCAAAGCCCCTCTCTTCACCCCCTTTCCTGGGCTCATCTGCAGCAAGTGGCCGACCCCCACAGCAGGATACTCACTCAGAGATGCCGGACAAGGGCACAAAGAGAGCCTTCGTTCCGCCCATGACGCCTCAGCCGCTCTGCATACAAGGTGCTGCACTGCGCCGACACAGTCTCAGACAGGCATTTACTCATCGTCAATGACTGGTTTACCAAACACCACTCATATAGCTTATGTAAAATGTTGCAGCTAATGAGCATGCTTGCACCTAGCAGTGGCAGCAGCTGCCACAGTGTGTTAGGGTGTGAGGAGGTAAAATGAGGTGAGCTCTCCCCATTGACCGCTCCAGTGTAATGAAACATGCTGGTCACTAGGAGGCTGATAGAGGCAGGAGGCAGTAAAACTAGACGCTTTGTAGTGTATAGCCATTTTAGTTTTGTTTTTAGCAGAAAACACAATTCCTTACTGTTATACCTCAAATAAACACTTAAGATTAATATCATAAAAAGGGCAAGTGGTCAGAAAGAGTGAAAATTAACGTTTGTTTGAACTTTGCACATTTGAGGTTCCTCTGGGTCTGAAGTTTTGCGACCTGTCTCTGAAATCCGTATCCTTTTTACTGTTGTGCAAGTTAATATGAATTTACTTACTTCAACTGTTTTTTTATGCTTGGAATGTAATTTCACAGCTGCTGTTTTCCCTAAATTCCTAAACAATGCAAACACAGCATCAAAGTTCAGATCTGTCTTCAGCGAATTCCCGTTTTTCAACTACGTTCAGTCCAAAGCACTGGATGATGTAAGCTTTATTTGAAGGCCTGTATAAACAGTGTACTGAGGATTATGAAAAACATGACACTGTGACCATGTGACTGGGTGGGTCTCCTGGAGTGTGTTTATGTTCTCTTTGTTCTCAGGTTCTTTACACAGGTAAGAACTTTGTGGCATGTGCACCCACTGGCTCTGGTAAGACAGTCCTGTTTGAGCTGGCCATCATTCGCCTGCTAATGGAGACGTCGGAGCCCTGGAGAGATGTCAAAGCTGTCTATAGTGAGTGCACAGTAATACTCCGCTTAACTTGTTAAGACACAACTAAGGCCACAACCTGAGGAGACACAGAACATAGTAGTTCTAGTTGAAAAGTTGTGTGTTCTTTTTTCTGTTTTGAGGAAACTTTCTCCTCCTCAGGAAGTTAAATTGCTTTATACTCACAAAACGATGTTGTGTCGCTTACAGCTGTTTTAAAACACTGGTCTGATTTATTGTTTAAACCCCTTGTCGACGTGAACAAAGCTTGTGCTGATACATTCTGATAGCTGGAAGCGAATAAAATTCTATGCACAATAAATCCAAATTTATTTAGAGAACATTGTTTTGACACAATACACCTGACTTCACACACTGGGGGCTTTAAAAAAAATTCCGACTCACTGTGTGTACATTTATCTTCTTGGTCTGTGAGTCTGTCGTTGTTTGTTTTTGCCAGTTGCACCCATCAAAGCTCTGTGCAGTCAGTGCTTCGAGAGCTGGAAGAAGAAGTTTGGTCCTCTGGGTCTGAGCTGTAAGGAGCTTACAGGCGACACAGAGATTGACGACTTCTTTGAGATTCAGGACTCACACATC